GTATTTGATGTTGGATTTAAAGCCAACAACAGACGATCAACAACGACTAAGACGAATATACTTCCAGGCGAGATTGGAAAGTTTATACAAAAACAATCATATCGACATACACCACTTGTAAATGCAATGTATGACGCAGAACAGCGAATGCAAGAGATCATGGAAGCGCCACAGCTTTCTGTGGTGGAAAAAAGCAAGCTTTACTCTGATCAACTAAATCGATTTCTGACTTTCAAAAATAAGATGGATGCCCCGGCTCACTATCACGAAGCCCGGGTTAGGAGAACTTCACTAGTGTCTGCTACTCCTGTCTCTGCTGAGATACCACCAGAAGTGCCTCCTACATCAGTACCAGCGGAAATACCATCACAAGTGCATGCCACTCCTAAAACTAATTTCCTTACACCGCCACTAACAGAAAAGAAACGACCAAAACTCAAGAGCAACTTTTTTCACAATTGGGTAGACTGTAAATTTTTGCCTGCAAAGCACGCTTTTTCCCGCCCGCACGATTTGTATAACCCGCCCGCCTGATTAGTGTACAAATGTGCTGTACATTAATATATGCATGCACCCAAGCGTCGCTAATTAATGACTGGCAACACATAGCAACGTATATAATGACCGCCTATTTCACAAAAAAATATATTACAACTGTTCTAAAAGTTTTTTCCTTCAAGTATTCTTGATAATCTTTCTTATGATCTGACTCCATACCTAATTTTAGTGTGCAGTGATAACCAATTTGTGCAGTGATAAAAGTAAAATGTGCAGTGATAAAATGTAAAATGTGCAGTGATAAAATTTGCTTTGATAAGTTGTTAATTAACACAAGAGAAAGATTTAATTGAAATTGAAATGATGACTGCCAAATTATCGAATTAAATAATAGTATATGTTTTTGTGTACGAAAATCATGAGATTCAGGCAATTTTTAGTTAATATCTGGCTTTTGGTATGTCCGGAAAAATTTTTGACCCTTAAAATGGTACACTGACCAAAATTTTTTTGGCGACGGGGGGGGGAGGTCGCCAAAAATTTCCGAATATTCGGAAATTTTCTTAGTCATTCGGAAATTTTTGGCATAAAATGTGCAGTGATAAAAAATTCTTAAAATTAGGTATGTCTGACTCTTGAATCGGTCATTTTAACAGTATATATGTATGCAGGAAGTTTGCTAAATAATGCTGAACATGCCCACGACCGCCCGTAATAATATCCATTTATATCCATCTGGATCCTATTGGTTATGCAAATTCGTATTGCCTTAATCCCCTTAATTACCTCAACGTTGTGTTTACGCGTGGGGATTACCTGACAACGCTGCCATCAGAATATTTATGTTTCTACCGCATTTGTTTCTATCAATAAAAACTATGAAAATATGCTTGTAAAATCATCGTTTTTATTTCGTTTAAAGTAACATAATTTATAAGCAGTGTGCTATATCTTTGAAAAACTTTATATTATTTGCTGTGGTAAATCATCGCACTCAATACTATTAAGGCCAATGGAACTGTAGATTCTGCTTACCGTCCACCGCCCGCATGTGCTTGAAACTACCGCAAGAATTTTTCATTATTCTGAATTATTTTCATTACTTGTCATTATTTTTAATTCTACGCATCGAAACTTTCAAATTAATATACATCAGATCATCAAATCTTCGATATAAAAGCAGTACATCGCTGATGTATGATGGATCAGTCAGCATTTGTTCGGTACACTCGGAAATTCGCGAGTCTGGCATGTGAAAATTCGAAAACAATGGCGTGACAAAGAAATTTTCAGCAAAGGAAAGCCCAAAAATGATAAAAGAATGCTGGACAAAAGTGTTGATGGTCGAAATCAAAAGAAAATGATTTAAGGATCATTTTTTGTCGGAAAATAGACAATAACAAAAATAATGAAAAATGAATAATGAAAAAAACCCGCATCAGATTTTTTAAATTCTCGGACGGTAAACAGAATCTACAGTTCCATTGGCCTAATACTAAATCACATTGTGTGTAAAGTAATTATATTCCCTTAAAATTTATCAAAAATACGGACATATCTCAAGATATTTCTGTACCTATAGCAGCAGCAACATTAACAGCGACCTGAATTTTTAACGATGCGCCGCTCTGCACAACCCTGAATATTTACACCAATTTTCAAAATTACGCGACCTCCCTGAAAAATACTCTTACTTCAAATGTCAGTTTTATGTCACAAAAACTGCTAAAAATAGCAAACGTAAACAAACTGTCAAAAGACATTTTAAACCGTATTTAATACCAAAACTGAACAAATATGAGTTAGATAACTTAGATATACAAACTAAAGCACAATACAAACCATCACTACAGAAATATGTGTCGTGAATAACTTTTAAAGTTTGAAAAATAACAATTTATCCTGGAATTTAGCTGTCAGTATAAATCACGCGCGCTAGACTATAACGGTAATGTTATGATTTTGTTTGTGCTTACATTCTGCAATAATTCTCACTAAAATGTCTTGAAAGTCATTGTAAGCCTGTTTATATAAAGCATACAAAGCATATACATCGACAAGGAACCGCAAAACTCAAAGTTTAAACTTCGTGACCGAATGACATAAAACTGACATGTCAACTCTAGCATTTTCGTCCTTGGTCGCGTAATTTTGAAAACGGGTGTAATGATGGGCCACCTCATTCTATGCTAATGATGATGCCCCACCTCATTCTATGTTAATGTAATGCGCCACCTCATTCCTGAACTTCTTTTTGTCATGTTAGTCGTTTCCAAATATGTGTATATGTATATAAATGTATACAAAAGAATAATGTATATTGTCGAGTAAAGACAAATAGTATATTGTGTATATTGTAAGGGTTAGGTTTCAAGTGGGACGAAAGTCCTGTTCCGTTCTCCTGTCACATAGTTATCTTCGTCAATGTAATTTTTTTTTGTATGGTGACAAATTCAATAAATAAATAAATAAATAAATAAATAAATAAATAAATAAATAAATAAATAAATAAATAAATAAATAAATAAATAAATAAATAAACAAATCAATAAATAAAGTAAAATTTGAAATGCACTTATGCATGGCGTACGAAACATTTTTCAAAATTTTCAAAATAGCCTCCGACCCCTTTAACACTTCATTTAATGGCGCTCCCAAAGTACCATGTACCGATGCAACAGACTCGTCCCCAGTCATTATTTGAATTTCAATTTTATAGGGACGAATAGGTATATATCCATATCTATAATCTATATATATAGATCAGTACCAAAGGTGGTAAGTGTCATGAGTCCACAACGAGAATTGAACCCACAATCTCAGAGATGAAAGGCCCTTGCTCCCCGTAGGGCGCAGTGCAACTTATTGACTTAATGGGCTAAGCTGTCAATTTTTATGTGTACAGGGACGTAACTAGACGCGATAACTGTCTGCTCGCTCTGTAACTTGTTTAAATTTGCATTGGCAAAAGCTCCCTCGATCAGCCTTTTGGTTTTTGGGCAGTGGCGTAACGTTATATCAGGGTGCCCCCGGTTCAAAATTTTCGAAGGCCCCCTGGTAGAAGTGCCAAAGGCACAAGTCGAGCGCCATAGTAGTTACGCCAGAGGGTACCTAAATATCGAGCCAGGACTCGAGCCAGGACTCGAGCCAGGACTCGAGCCAGGACTCGAGCTAGGACTCGAGCCAGGACTCGATTCAGGACTCGAGCCAAAAATGACGTCAGGTGATTTTGATGGATGAAAATTTACCAACAGCGTTCTCACTTTTAAGGAATTTTCCTTAAATTTAGACTATTCGTTCACCAACAATGCGAAATGTTTAAGGAAATTTAACTGACTGATCTGAGGAATTGTTTATCGATAACCTAAGTGATGTTTCGCGAATGGGAAGCGAGAGAACTTGTTTACCAAATCAATTTCCCGCCTTTTTCCACCAGAGTCGATAAAAGAACTAAAGAACGATAGTCTATATTTGGTATATTTGTACATACAGAGCTGTCAATCTCATCTGACTTTGGCTATTAAGGGGCCGATTACATGGAGCATTTTCAACCCCGGGGTTGAACTCATCCCTGTTAACCGGGTTGAAATTTTTTGCGATTACATGGACGATTTCAACCCCGGGGTTAAAACGTTATACTATACGTTCTCGGCATCGATTCGCGGAAGTGAAAAAGCCTTTATTTTGTTTTCTTGTAATAAATAGTCACTACCACGCATGCTCGAATAACTCATTATAATTTCAGCCCTGGGTTGAAACGATTACATGACAAAATTTTCAAGCCAGGGCTGAGTTCAACCCCGGGGTTGAAATTTCAACCCTGCTAGCTGAAGCAGGGTTGAACCGGGGTTGAACTCAGCCCTGGCTTGAAAATTTTGTCATGTAATCGCGCGTTTGATTTTGATAGAGTTTTGTATTCTGTGGTTTTGTATTACAGACAGTGCTGAAATTTCAACCCGGTAAACAGGGCTGAGTTCAACCCCGGGGTTGAAAATGCTCTATGTAATCGGCCCCTAACTGTAACGGTTATTAGCGTCGGAAGACAGTGAATGAAACAATAGTCAATACCATTGTTGTTGTTTGTCTTTGATATATTGCACAAATATCGATATCCAAAAAAGGGAAATATCCGGCCAGTATTTTATCGAGCTAAAACAGTTGGTATTGCCCATCACTAGCAGTCTCTCGCTCTTTACAAAACAGATCCTTGTTGCCGCTCATTCGGCCGCTTAGCATTCGTCAAAGAGTAGGATAATTCCCCCTGCCTTATTTTCCTGTACTAGACGCCAATATCACCAAACTGTATTATAGAAGAGCCGGCCACGCTGGCTAACTGTATTACCAAATACACCCTTTCGATAATTACACATACTTTTTGGTCTTGGAACCTCGCTCTCATTGCCATTGGTAAATTACACAAGGTGATTAGCGTAATTATTGAAAGGTTGTAGTAATTTGCTAGTAGTAGAACATTTAGCTAGCCTGCGTAACGTGTCTTATGAAACAAAACCATTGGGTAATAGCAATTCCCCGTATTTTCGCATTTTTCGAGTCAGGACTCGATCAAAAAAATGCGAAAATACGGGGAATTGCTATTACCCAATGGTTTTGTTTCATAAGACACGTTACGCAGGCTAGCTAAATGTTCTACTACTAGCAAATTACTACAGCCTTTCAATAATTACGCTAATCAAATTGTGTAATTTACCAATGGCAATGAGAGCGAGGTTCCAAGACCAAAAAGTATGTGTAGTTATCGAAAGGGTGTATTTGGTAATACAGTTAGCCAGCGTGGCCGGCTCTTCTATAATACAGTATGGTGATATTGGCGTCTATTACAGGAAAATAAGGCAGGGGGAATTATCCTACTCAGTTGACGAAAGCTAAGCGGCCGAATGAGCGGCAACAAGGATCTGTTTTGTAAAAAGCGAGAGACTGCTAGTGATGGGCAATACCAACTGTTTTAGCTAGATAAAATACTGGCCGGATATTTCCCTTTTTTGGATATCGATATTTGTGCAATATATCAAAGACAAACAACAACAATGGTATTGACTATTGTTTCATTC